ATATATATATATATAGCCCTAATACCACTAAAATATTCCAAGCACCATTGGTAATGCTAGTTCGTTTAGATGGAAATGCAGAGTAACACAAACAGCACTCTGCTATCCATTATTGTTGTTGTACTAATGTTTTAGGGCACTGTTTTTCTGGTCTTGGTCTCAGACCCGAGTCTTGGTCCCGTCTTGGTCTCGATACACACTAGTGTTGGTCTGACTTGGCCTCGGGTTAGGTGGTCTTTTATTACAACAGTACTCTGTCATTGTTTTTGTTGTTCATCAACTCATGTAGAATAAAACTTTTGACTGCAGCCACACAATTTCACACCTCCATGGTGGGGTTTCTTGAAAACCTCCAGTCTATGACATGGATTCAAAAAAGCTTCGTTTCAGACCAAACTAGCGCAGTTCAAGTATACAAGCACAACCAAACTGCAGCAGAAAAGCTGCTGTCTCACTGACATTCTGCATCTTTAATCTGAGTTTCCACTGAACTATACTTCAAAAGAGTCTGAACTATCCCTTTTTCCATTTTAACTTTAATGTTGATATTTAGCATTGCACACAACCCCATTACTTTCACACATTTGGTGGCACCAATGCTTTTCAATGAACATTTATTACATTAGAAAGAAAAACAAAAAACAAAAAAACAATCTTGTCTTTATTCCTGAGCCCCTGGTGGTATTGTTGTGTTCCCATTCAGTAGCGCTTCATTCAAAGGGTTTTGCTGCTGATAGCAATCATGCATTATTAAACAAAGCCTGACAACATGCACCATGTTAATTAGAAGGGGGGGGGGGTGGAGAATGGAGCTGTTGAACTGTCTTCTCTCTCCTTTCTCATGATTCTTATCAGAAATGCAGAAAGAATGAGGGGAGAGGATGTTTATATTCCACATAAAAAGCCTGCTCTCGATACTAATTTCAGGGCGCTTGTTTGTTATTCTGCTCTTTTTGGACAAGCAGTATTATTAAGGGTAAAAAAACAAACAATGAATCAGTCATTTCATGCCATGTTCCAGCCACACTGCAATAAACTTCTAGGAAAAGATGCAAGCAGAATAGTTATGAGGTCCCCAAAGCTGCGAGTTTATAACATCAACGACAACAATCTGCTGTTTTCATGTTCTCTCTCTTGCTGTAACAGTCTGAAAATAATAAAATAAAATAACTGAAGGTCTAGCGGTCCTCAAAAGCATGCATCACCCTCTTCCTTTCATGGTTTGTGAGATATTTTGCTAAC